CTCTGAAAGGGCCAAGCTGTCCTTTGCTTCTTATTTCCTTCTGCACTGCCCCCCCCCATAAAGTCAAACCTTTCTGCTCATCCCACTGGAAACCCAATTAATTCACAAAATAAAATGCTAACTAGATCTAGAATCAAAAGCCAGTCAGACCTCTGAATTAAACTGCCATAATTTTAACTTTCGTATCTTTTACTTGTGCACGCCCCAGCGGGTGCTTCTAAGAATGGATCAGGGATGAGGGTGGTGCCTGTGGCTGAGCAAGCACAGCCGTAGACCTGCTCTTGGCCTCGACCTCCAAACTGCCCTTGCTCAAACTTTTACTGACAGAACTGTTCCTTCCATGTTTGATTATACCAAGAAGGCGGTATCAGGAACACAGTGACTTTCCATAGCACCTATGGATTGGGTTAAGAAGATGTGATAAATGAAGATAGACAAACCTCCAAACATCTCAGAAATTTGCCCAAGGACGGACAGTCAGTAGGCAGGAAAGCTAAGGCCAGAACGCAGGATCAGGAGATGACAGAGGCCACCTCAGTGCCAGTCAGCCTTGGCTGCGTATGCAGTTTGATCTCCTTCTAGAGTATCTGATCCCAACAGCAGAAGGTAAGGTTTTCATATTTCAAATAGCCCTCAGCATAAGCAACTGCATTTGTGATATGATTTAAGGAGAGCCAGATGGGTTAAAAAAAGTAGTTCTACCACTCCCAGAGTCTGAAGGTTCACCACTGGAGGTGTGTTACTTTGGGTCTTCAAGTCATTTCCATGGGTTTGGTTTCTTAGGACATGGTTTACTTAAGATGGCTAATTCTCAAAGAGAAGGCTCATGGGCTGAGATGTAGAACAGATGCCTGGAAAGACATGGGGGCTCCAGGACAGGCATAAAGGAAGATAGAAGGTCCCAAAGATGCATGCAGATACTCTGCTTGCCTGACCCCATCCTCCTGAGACAGGGGAAGGTTGTATTGTGCTCCATTTTCAGAAACACTGTTAGATGGAGTTAGGAAGAAGCAGCATCACTGGGGGCAGGTGGACACTGAACACAGCATTGTGGGATGTTAAACACAATGGGTTATTAAGCTTCAAAGTTCTTGCTTTTGAAGACCTGGTGGTCTCTGGAGAAAAACTGTCCCAGTGGCAAGCAATGTATGAGAAAGATGGGCAGGGAGTTCAGAATCTGGTGTGACTTGAACCTCAGAAAGGGGTCAGATTTGGAGGAGGTAATGGCAGCTTTACCGGAGACAGCAGTCTCAGAGGCAGTACCAGAGAAGGCAAAATAAAGAAATGAGTTGGTAAATACCTCTCTTGCTTTACAATGTAAGCCTGCACTGCCAGGTCCAACTACTACTTGGGTCTACCCAAACACGGAAATCCAACTTGGACTTAATCACTGTCAAGCAAAATGCCATTAGCATGCCCCCAGAAACAAAACCGGATGGCAGAAGTATTGCATGGAGGTGCTAGTCACGCAGTGCTTGAACCCATCTCTTTCCGCAGAAAACCTATAATCCTTGTTTCAGGGAACACATCTAGAACTCTAGTGAGAGGTGTTACCAGATTTATAGGTTAAGATGTGTGTCAAATAAATCTGAGGAAACTGTTGGGCAAGCCTAAGCCCTGCCCAGTAAAGAAATGCATGGAAGACATTTAAGTGACACCGTGGGCCAAGAGCTGAGAGAGATTCTAGGACCTTCCACTGGAGGCAGCCGGAGGAAGATTCGCCCAGCCTCTTCCAGAAGCACCCTGGGCCTCTCTTGAACTTTCCTCTAACAGGAAAGGTTACTTGTATTTACCTTCACTTTATTGTCTGTATGTTTTTAAGAGACACCTTTATTTAATTCCTACAAAGAAAACAACCTGAAGAAGAAAAGAAGGAAGGAAGGAAGCGTTGACCTTTCTGTGATAAATGAGTTATTTCACTGATACCAGTCGCTTAGGCTCTGCTGTTCTGAACAACGGCTCTTTATAGACCCTGGCATAAGAGAGGCCAACACCTACAGCCTGAGGCTTACTGTGAGTGAGTGGGGAAATCTAGGAGGAGATTTGGAAAGAAGAGAAGGGATGCAGGCGAATCCTGAGAATCCTCTTCCACTTCAAATGTCTTAATGAGTAACCGCAACGTGTGTTTCCCTTTCGCCTTACCTTAGCCACCTCATCGAAGCAGCTGCTGTCTGAGTCCTAAATAGCAAAGACCTCTTAACTGTGTCCCTCACAGGCTCTTAGTGACCTCAGCGGCGACTCACAGACACAACGATCATGTGACTCAAGCCCACCCACAGATGCTGGCAAAGTCCTGAGTTCAATTTCAGCCACACTGGGCAGGTGCACTTCTGATGCATGATCACACAGTAGGGATTTTGAGATGATTTGTTTATTGGGAGCCAACAGACCAAAACGAGAAAAACAAATAAACAAACAAACAAATGAGATGTCAAATATGCAGGTGGTGGTTATAATAATCAGGGGAGCAACATGGTCACACCATATTTCTAAAAATGGACTCAGAAATTGCGATACGAAGTCTGCAAAAATGAGTAATACATTTAAAATACACAACTTTATAAGTATCATGCAAAGCATGAGACATACAACTTCAACTGCAGCATTCTATTAATTAGCTATTAGTAGACAGAATTTTGAAATGAAAGTGTAAAAAAAAAAAACCCAAAAGGCTTTAAAATAAATAGCCATGAAAAGCTAGCAATGCTATTATATTATTTGAACTTTAAGGAAAGAAGTTCTTAAAATTCTTAAATTTGGTTGTCATGGAGTCAAGAGCATATGTATGTGTTAAAAAAAGACTAGTCAGAGAAATAAGATATTTAAGAACTATCTCCACATATTTTTTTGAGTCCTTGATCTTCATATAATCCCAGCTCTCATCTGATAATTTTGAGAAGCATTATAAGTTGTTGACAACTTTGCGTGGGGGTTGGGGGTTGGGCACAAAAGCCATTTGTTTACCTTTGGCTATAATCTGTTTGAAAGGTGTTTCTCTAAACCAGTGCCTGGTTTGTTGATGTTTTGAAAGAGAGGTATATTTCACTTTTAAAAATAATTTTTATCAGCATTTATAAATCAAGATTTTGTAGAATCATTATGAAGATGGACTCCAAGCTCAGCTTCCCAAGTGTTAACATCATCTGTTAATAAGGGTCCGTATCATAGGCAATTAACCATAAACCATGCCATAATCACATTGCTGACTAACCACCACACTTTAGTCAAACTTTCTAGCTTTATGTCCTATCCATGTCCTGCCTCTGTCCCAGAGTCAACCCGGAACATGATAGGACATTTGGTTAGAAAGTTGGTTTAGGCATCTGCCTGGGACAGCTTCTCATATGTCACTTGCTTTTAATTACATTGATGGTTTTGAAGAGTACTGGCCAAACAGACAAATATTAGAGTTTGTCTTATGTTTTCCTCGTGATTAGAGTCAGGGAGCATGTGGGAAGAAGAGTCACAGAGGCCAAGCGCCTTCTTGCTACAGGTCACAGATGCCTCTTACTAATGCCAGGGGCATCCACCATCCCTGATGTGAACTGCGATTCGCTGGGGGAGGGGAGACAGCAGAGAGCTTGCCTGGAGGGGCAAAGCTCTGGTCTCAGCCCTCCAGAGAGAAAACATTCCTTTCTGAAGTAGCATTTGCCAGGCTCTGCCATAGTTTTTCCAGCCTTCCCATTCCGCACTCTTTGGAAGAAAATCACCCTGTGTAGCCTGGGCTGTGCCTCCTGGCTGTATATTACCTAGGATTCTTCTGCAGGGTTGAGGGGCAGGGGCTCCATCATTTATTTATCCATCCACCCAATCACTGACATGAGTGTAGCTATGTATCATTCACTTTAAGTTATTGTTCAATGCTAGTTTATTTATTATATGGACCTCTTGTACCTGGGTCCCATTGTTTGTGAGGGGGAGGTGGGGTGTTTTTTTACTTTTTCTTCAGTTTCTGACACTGTTAGATACTCTAAGCTCATCTTGCATATTTCTTGCCCTAGTCTTAATCAACACTTTCTCCAAGGAACCCTGCTTTTAATGCAGAACAGAACTGGAAGCCAGGGTCTAAGCAGGAGTGTGCTCTTGTTATGAGGCTGTCAGTGCTCCTAAATCAAAGCTGAGCTCAGGCTCCTCACAGGACCTACAGAGAGTGCTATGCTCATTCATTTTCTGGACATGATAGCTCACACACATAATTCCAGCACTCAGTAGGTAGAGACAAAAGAATTGTTGTGAGTTCAATGCCAGTTTGGGCTGCAAGGTGACTTTGGAACCAGCCTGAGCTGCAGAGTGAGACTCTGTCTTGAAAAAAATGCAGAGAACAAAACCATATAATTTTTAACAAGTATTTTGAAAAAGAGATTACTGACCTTGCTAGAGCATTTTGCAAAGAAAAGCTGAGTTAAGTATTGCAATGGTATTGTGCCTGCAGGCGAGACAGTGCTATTAGACCCACTTTAAGAGTGAGGAAACCAAGTCACAAAGAACAGCAGACATTTGCACAGCTGTTAAGTGGTGGAGCCAGCGATAAAACCCAAGCACCTAGATCCAGATTTGGCACACTTCCCCCACTCCATATTGCCTCACAGTAGAGGTCGGAGGGCTCACAGAGCTGCTATCTCAAGCTGCTGAGTCACTTAATCCACCTGTGTATTTTCAAGACATATATGTACCCAATAAGTGCCATATGTTGCTATAATTTATGCCTGACACCATTTGAAATACCTCTTGGCTTATGACCCAACTTAACATGACAGGGAGGTTGCTCTGATGTGTCCCTGGAGAGAGTCTGAGCCCTAATTCTTTTATCTCTGTCCATTTATTAGTTCTATTGACTTTAAAGGGGTGGCTTAGTGTCTCTCCAATACATAAAAGCCCCACGCTTTATGCTGCTGTTCACTGATAAAAAAAAATTAAATAAAACGATTTTTGTGAAAGCCATTGAACAAAACCCAGGTTCCCACATGGTGCTAAGAAGAGAATTCTAAATGTGCACTTACTTTGTGTGTGTTACTTTCAGGTGGCTGTACCAGACCAGACTTAAGATGATCTGAAAGAAAGACAAAACAGAAGTGAGTAAAAACACCTTAAAGGACACGTCCTTACCTTGTGCGAGGGGCGTGCTGCAGGATTGGTTTTGTTGTCATTAATGCACTTTGGGAAAGGATTGCAGATCAACAAAATAGAACAAAAGACAGAGGCCAATACCATGGGAGTCTGGGATTGCTCCTTCATATTTATAGGCTTCTAAGAAAGGGATAAAGCACTGAAAAGAAAGGATGCTGGAGAAGATGGGTCTTCATGGTCAGCTCCTAGCACTCAAAGAGATGCTTTCCACATATGTAAAACAATGCAATGAGAACTCACAATAGGACCAGTCCACAGTGCTGAGGAGATAACTCAGCCAGTAAGGAGCTTATCTCACAAGCATGCGAACCCGAATTCCATGCCCAGAATCCTCATAGAAAGCCAGGCATGATGGCACACACTTGCAAACCAGTGCTGCAGAGGCGACAGGGACAGGCAGATCCCTTGTGGCTTGCTGGGAGTAGCCTAGCTTACCAGTGAGTTATGCTCAAATGAGAGACTGGCTCAAAATCTAGGTGAACGGCTCTGCGGCTCTGGGGGAATGACACCCAAAGCTGTCCTCCGGCCTCCGCACGCACATTGCATACACATGGACGTGCACCTGCATACAGGCGTGTACATGCACAAGCACATACACACACACACATATAATTGTTTTAAGTCAGTAGGGAATGGTAGATGGTTCAGTGGATAAAAATCCTATTGGAGAAGACTGGTGAGCTAGGTTTCAACCGAGGAACCCATGGTGGAGGCAGATAACCAAGTGCAGAGAGTTCATCTCAGAAGGAAGAAATGATCCGGGTGAGCAGCCTGGGAGAAGACTCACTCAGCAAGTCTGAGGGAGAGAGCTTTGAGGTGGCTGTGGCCTGCAGCCCATCACTAATGGACACATGTCTGGTGTTTAAGTCTTCTCTTCAAAGGAAGGGCATTTTAACACCTCTGCGGCCACCAGTCTAGACAACCTAATTCATCTCTATAACACGGTTCCAAAGCTAGCAAGAGGGCCAAAGCCCTCTGGGAAGGTCTGCTTTAAAACCCCAGCTGACATCATTGGATTGCTAAGCATCAATGCTACTTTTATTGGGAATAAAAATCCCAAGGATTGTATAAATGTTTTTATGTCTAAAGGTCCTTTATGAATTTTTAAAATTGAGACATCAATTGTAATAATTCAACATGAAAAGGTAACTCAACTGACATGTTAGAAGACATGACTACTATGGACTTGGTGATGTGCTGGTTGTTGTCACTAGCTCTTTGGTCAACCAAAGACTCTTCTGAGAAGTTAACGGAGAACTGAATACTATTGAAACAGAGCTCATTGCTTTAGCAGAAGCCGAAGCTTTGACTACACAGGAGAGGCCATGTATTTCGTCGAGGCAAAACACTGAGCCTCTGCATGCTCCAGAAGTGACAGGTATTGTTTTATTTTTAGTTTCAGCCAGCTAATAACTCTGATTTAAAACAGATTTTTGTGTCTTTCTTACTCACAGTCTATACATTTAATAGATATTGCCGGAAATGTTTGGCTTAAAAAAAAAGAATTGGGGCTGGAGAGATGGCTCAGAGGTTAAGAGCACTGGCTGCTCTTCTAAAGATCCTGAGTTTGAGTCCCAGTAACCACACAGTGGCTCACAACCATCTATAATGAGACCTGGTGCCATCTTCTGACATGGAACCATACAAGCAGACAGAACACACACATATATACAAACACACACACACACATATAATAAAATAAAATCTAAGAAGAAAAAATCTTTCTAATCACAATTTAGAAATGAAAAAAATGCTAGATGGTTTTTATAGATTGTCTTTCAACTCAAAGTTACTTTGGTGATATCTAAACATTTAATAACTTTAAGAATGACATTCTGAAGATCTTTTTCATTGTTAGGATGTGGAAAAGGATGAAGTAAATCCATAATGATTTATACATTAAAATATATGGAGTGAAAAAAAAATATATGGAGTGCTCTGTTTCAGGCTGGATTTATAGGAGATAGGGTTAAATGAACTGATAGGGAGAATGAACTGACCTGCTGTGGAGACCATTGCCTTCACCAGCATCAGACCTGACAGTGCCAACCTCACCCCCAGCTAAGCAGGAAGCTGGCCGGTGTGCTAGCAGCACAGGCCAGAAGTCTGTCTTTTCTCTAAGCTTCTGCACAATCTTCAGAAATCCTCACAGACCACAGTGCATTAAAACCACATTCTAAGTGAGTATATGCTGTGTGTGTCTTTCCGCTTCTGGGATACCTCACTCGGGATGATCTTTTCTAGTTCCCACCATTTGCCTGCACATTTCATGATTTCCTTGTTTTTTAGTTACTGGTTCCATTGTGTAAATGTACCACAATTTCTATATCCATTCCTCTGTTGATGGACGTCTGGGTTGTTTCCAGGTTCTGGCTATTACAAATAAAGCTGCTACAAACATGGTTAAGCAAATGTCCTTGTTGAGTACTTGAGCATATTTTGGATATATGACTAGCAGTGGTATAGCTGGATCTTGAGAAAGCACTATTCCTAATTGTCTGAGAAAGCGCCAGATTGATTTCCAAAGTGATTGTATAAATTTACATCCCCACCAGCAATGGAGGAGTGTTCCCCTTTCTCCACATCCTCTCCAGCATGTGTTGTCACTTGAGTTTTTGATCTTAGCCATTCTGATGGGTGTAAGGTGAAATCTCAAGGTCGTTGTTTTGATTTGCATTTCCCTGATGACTAAGGACATTGAGCATTTCTTTAAGTGTTTCTCTACCATTCTATATTCCTCTACAGAGAATTCTCTAGACATATAATATAGGGTAAACATACTAAAATCTGCACACCTAAAGAAGCTGAGCAAGAAGAAGGACTCTGGGTAAGATGATCAATCCTCACTCAGAAACACAAGCGGGATGGACATTAGAAGAAGGAGAAAATAAGAAACAGGACAGGAGCCTACAATAGAGGGCCTCTGAAAGACTCTACCCAGAAGTGTATCAAAGCAGATGCTGAAACTCATAATCAAACTTTGGGTAGAGTGTAGGGAATCTTAGGAAAGAAGGGGGAGATGGTAAGACCTGGAGAGGACAGGAACTCTACAAGGAGACCAACAGAACCAAAAATTCTGGGCCAAGGGGTCTTTTCTGAGACTGTTTCTCCAACCAAGGATCATTCATGGATATAACCTAGAAACCCTGCTCAGATGTAGCCCCTGGCAGCTCAGTATTAAAGTGGGCTTCTCTAGTAAGGGGAACAGGGACTGTCTCTAACATGAACTTAGTGGCTGGCTCTTTGATCACCAACCCCTGAGGAGGGATCAGCCTTACCAGGCCGCAGAAGAGGACAGTGCAGACAGTCCTGATCAGGCCTGATAAGCTAGGGTTAGATGGAAGGGGAGAAGGACCTCCCTTATCAGTGGACTTGGAGAGGAGCATGAGAGGAGATGAGGGATGGAGGGTGAGATGGGGAGGGAGTGAGAGAGGGGGCTGCGGCTGGGATACAAAATGAATAAACTGTAATTAATATATATAAAAAATTAAAATTTAATTAAAAAAAAGAAACTGCATTCTATTTTACCCACTCTTTTTTCCAACATCAATGAGAGAATGGACAAGGTGGGGTTGTAAGAGAGAACTAATTTATGTAGGCTGTCCTTTGACTTCCACAAATGCATGAGCGCATGAGCGCATGCACACACACACTAATTCAATATATATGCTATATATACATAGAGAAAGAAAAATTTTGCAGGCTATGTCACATTTACAGTCCTCCAGATGTATCTAAGTGCAGAGAGGTGGGGGCTTTCAAAGGTGATTACATCATGAGGGCTTTTCCCTCCTAAGTGGAACAAAGGCTGTTATAAAAGAGCAACACAGGGCACTCAGCCTTCTTCCTCCTGTCCCTTCTTCCAAGTGAGACTCAAGGGAAATGGTAGCCCTCACCAGACACTAGAGTTTCCAGTACTTCCTTGATCTTAGCCTTCTCAGCCTCCAGAACTATGAAAAATAATGCTTATTCTTTACAGCAACATGAGAGAGAGCGAATTGTGTCCATGTTAGTCACCGTGCTCACCATCATGACCAAATGTCCAACAGAAGTAACTTAGAGGAGGAAGGATTTATTTTGGCTCATAGCTTCAAAGAATACAGTCCACTGTAGGGAAGGTAGTGGGGAAGCTGTGGCTCCATCTCTGATGGTGGAAGTGTAAGAAGCTTTTGTCTTGACTGACAGGAAGCTCAGGCCAGGACTAGAAGTGTTATTGCCTTCAAGGCCTGCCCTTAGCAACCCACTTACACTGGCTGGAGCACAGTCTCAAAGGTCCCCTGATCTCCCAAAATAGTACCAGCGCTGGCCACCAAGTTTTGAAACACCTGCAACAGGGGCAGGAGAGACATTTCACATTGGAAGTATTCTGTTATGTGCCTTTCTAATTTACATTACGACTCTTCAGGGAAGGCAAGAGGGTGAAGAAGAAAAATTCAAGAGTGGCTGTCAGGAAGTCTGAGGTCTTGAACGTCTGTTAAGGGGTTGATCTTAAGCAATCACAGAAAGACCGCTAGCTGTGGAAAGACATAGAGGATAAAGCAATTGTCCTAAATCTATTTCCAGTTGGGTTTAACTTTTCCTTTAAGATTTCTTTTGGGAAGTTTATGATTCATGAAGAAACAAAGAAATGTATCTGTTTAAATTTACCTTTTCAGCAGCCTAGAGTAATTCTTTTCTAATAGTGATAATGCTTACAATACTTTATATTTGCATATGTAAATTTCAGCTTATGTGCTCCTGAAGCTACAGAAGTTGCAAACATCTGAAACAAACACAACTTTGAAAAGTTTTAAATGAGAATTTAAAACTTATGAGAAGATGTATCGTTATGACACTACTTAGACACTATTTGTAGCCCCTTGGTCAGCCATGCTATCCATTCATGCTGACAGTCAGGGAAATCATTTCTGCTCTGTCAGAATT